GGCGAGCGCGGGCGGCCGAGCGGAGCCGAGCGCAGCCGATCCGGGCCGAGCCGGGCCAGGCCGGGCCCAGGAGCGGGCGGGCGATGCGGGAGGCTGGGCAGGGGTCTGCGGGCCCCTGAGCCCGGGATTACTGCACGCTGAGCACTGAAGGGCCGGGCCGCCATGGCCGGGGTCAGCTACGCGGCACCTTGGTGGGTGAACCTCCTGCACCGGCTACCCCACTTCGACCTGCAGTGGGAGGCCACAAGCAGCCGGTTCCGGCCGGAGGACACAGACTACCAGCAGGTGAGGCGAGCAGGGGGGCACGGAGCCCAGGTCACGGCCCCTCCCCCCTTGGCCATTACCCCTCCACCCCGAGGGTCACGACACCCCTCCTCCCCGAGGGTCGACACCCCTCCACCCCGAGGATTGACACCTCTCCACCCCGAGGAGCACGACACCCCTACACCCCGAGGGTCACTACACCCCAAGGGTCACGACACCCCTCCTCCCCGAGGAGCACGACACCCCTCCTCCCCCAGGGTCGGTACCCCTCCTCTCCGAGGAGCACGACACCCTTGGTCCTGGAGTGTCATAAGCCCCCTTCTCCCCAGAGTCATTAGCCCAGTCTCTCCTCTTCCCGACTGTCAGAGCCCCCTCCTTCCCAGGCTCACAGCACCCCTCCTCCTTGAAGACAAGGGCCCCCACCTCCCTAAAACTCCTCGGGCCCCTGCTGAAGGGTCCAGCATTGTCCCTGAGAACCCTTCTAAGGTCTCTGTCTTCCTTCTCAAGGGTCAGGCACACAAGGCCCCTCCTTCCTCAAAACCACAGGCCCCACTTCTGAGTTGTCCTCTCTCTCTTCCCAGGGTCACCGTCCCCTCCCCAGCTCTCTCCTTTGGGCCCCTGAGGCCCCCATCTGGGGCTCTGTGGAACCCCTTTCATGTCCCCTCCCACACACCAGCTGTCTGTTCCACCTGGCCCCTCTCCATCCTGGACACCCAGTCCAGGGACCTTGGAACTTAGATGCCAGAGGCTCTGCTTGGGAGCACCCCTGGCTGGGAATCCCGTCACCCAGCTGTGGTGGGTGAGTGGCCTGGGCCAGTGCCAGCCTTCCTGCCCGCTAATGACCTGCTCTGTGGCCAGGCTGTGGATTGCACCTGGAGCCGTGTGGTGACATGGTCTGTGGCCAGGCTGCCTGTGGTTGGCTCTGAGGTATAGGTGGGCCTCAGGATGGGCAGGTGGGGGGCAGAATGCTGCCAGACTCTGTTCCACTGGCCCTGCAGAGCAGGCTAGTGGGGGGCTTGCTGGCAGCCTGCCCCTCAGGCTCTCCCCAGCGGCCTCTGGCGCCTGGCTGCTTGCCAAGCCCAGCACCACCCCCATCACCCCTGTTGCTGGGTGGCTGTCTGCTGTCCCTGGTGTCTGGGGCAGGGATCAGGCCTGAGGCTTTTCTTTCCTGTGGGGTGGGGGGTGATCGGGCTCAAGAGGCCCTCTGTGCCCTACAGAGCCCCCTGGGGCAGAATGACACTGGTGTCCAGAATCCCAGGGGAGGGCCAGAAGTACAGGGGGACATGGTGCTCTGTGGGGGTGTCCACCTGTCCTTCAGGCTCCCCTGCTCACCTGTGAAAGTAGATGAGAAAGGGGCCTCAGGATTGGCCCAGACATGCCCATGGGAGCCAGGGGAGGCCTCCCACCTTCTCCAAGCTCAGTCTTGGGGACTGATTAGCATGGGAGCCACGTCCCCTTCCTGTGCACCCCACGAACTTCCAGGTGGGCTGGTGTCCTGAGAAGTGAGGACAGGGGTGACTAGCCCTACAGAGTTCTCTGTTCTGAGCTCTTGGACATATTACTGAACCCCGAGTCTCCTGGGCCACCTTTTGCTGCTGTGTGTGCCGCTTACCAGGGAGCCTGGGATTCCAGGACCTGTGGGGAGGGCGATGAGGAGGGGTCGTGGTGGCCCCCTTGCTGATGGGAGCACCCCACTGTCCACTTGCGGTGTCCTCCTGGCGTTGCGTGGTGGGTGTTATGCCGAGGGAGGCTCTGACTCACCCCTTCTCCTGCATTAGCCGCTGAATAATTCACAGCACAGAGCCGGCTGCATCCCCACCGCCTCCGCTTGGAGGAGCAGAGAGTGGGACTGTGGGGTGCCGGGCTGCTGTGTGCCCAGCCAGGCCCTGCCTGTGCCTTACGTGGTGCCCCAGTCTCTCCAGTCTGTGGCTATGCCCCGGTCTAGGGCTGACTTTGTGTGGTGGGGACAGTGTTCCGGCTGGGGGTGTGGGGAACAGCTACCGGAGCAGGTAGGGACAGAGGCAGGGCGTGGGGGCTGTGACTGGCCCTCTCATATGCTCCCATCTGCCTCCTATTCAGCGATGAGTTCATGATAATCTCTCTGCCCAGAGCACTGACAGCACCCCGGGCCTGGGACCCTGTCCTGTTCGATGGATCACAGGGTCCAGGGGGAGAGGTGGGATGGAAGCTGGGCTAGGCACCCAGGGAGACCCTTGGGCCGGCAGCCCTTTTTCCGGGGTCTGTATGGGGAAATGGGTCAGTTGATGGCTGCTGTACAGATTAGCAAACCGAGGCTTTGAAATTCAGATTCCATAGTGAGCAGATCCCATTGTTTGGTGCTTGAAATCGACTCCCCTGGAAGAGACCCTGCATTCAGCAGAACGAAGCCCTCCTTGGTCCTGCAGTAGCCTCGCTCACTGCCGTGCTGGTGGCGTTGTGACAGTGGCCACCTCATCTCGTCTCATTGAGGGTCTTCCTCTCTTTAGCTGGTCCTCTGCTTTTGCATGACGTCCTTCTCCAGAGGCCAGCCCCTCCTCTTTACGTGTCACCTGAAGTGTGTGACACAGTCTCCATCCTCCCTTCTGAGGGGCATTCTGGCTGCATGTAGCTAGCCCACCACCCACTGCTGGTCAGGCGAGCCCAGATCCTGACGACCCTCCTCCAGGTTTCCAGGAGACTGCCTCATCTCTCTCCCCAGAGGCAGCGGGTACATTTGAACCGCCAACCTTTGGGTTAGCCTCCCCATCCAGGCTCCTGTAGACGGCAGGTCACAGAGCAGGCTTCAGGCCTCTTGCCCTGCCTTCAGGAGCCAGAGCCTGGGCTGGGGGAGGCAGGTCAGCTGTGGGCCGTTGCAGACCCTAGGAGCTGGGGGGCTACTCTGTGGTGTCCCAGCCTCTGTGGATGTTGGGAGAGCAACATGTAGACGGGAGGAGTCCTGAGAGGCCCACCAATGCTTTCCTGCCCCTCCAGGCCTCCCTGCCCAGAGTGAGGCCACTCCTTGCCCCTGTGTGACCACCCCCTCCTGGGGCCGGACTCTCAAGCCCTCTCCGACCCACCCTGGGGCCTTGCAGCTTTTGAACAGACGTGGAGGGATTCCTTTGGAATCTCAAGGCCTTTGTCCTGGGAGAAGGGCTCCTGGCCTGTATCCTCCTCTTGGGACTTGTTTCTTGGGGGAGAGCTTCATTTAGCGGTCTTATGGCATTTGCTGAAAGGACAGGCTCTGGGGAGGGGCTGGTGATGAGTCTGTGGGGGAAAAAGAAGAGTTGAGGCTCCTCCCTGTCCCCCATGCCTGTCACAGGGGAACTGGTCCAGACTGGCCTGCTTCCAGCCCCCAGCATCCTGACCTGGGATCCATCCCAGCATACTCTGAGCTCCCCCCGCATCCTGACCTGGGATCTGTCCCGGCATGCTCTCAGCCCCCAGCATCCTGACCTGGGGTCCATCCTAGTATGCTTTGAGCCCTTACCCCATTCCTGCCCTCCCGGGTCAAATGTACTGGAAACGGGTGGGTGCCCCCAGAAGCACATTGCTTTTCAAGGGAGGGGTCATGGTCCCTGTGGAGGGGTCGTGGGTGGGCAGCTGAGCTGGGACCTGCCTCAGCCCTGGCTGTCTTGGTGTGAGTCTTGATTTTCTGGTCAGGCCGGTCTGGCTGTGGACACGCTTCCTGAGACTCGGGGCAGCAGAGCCTTCGAGGGCTATAGGGTTGGTGCTCGGGTGGGGCAGACCAGGCTGTTATCCAGCTCCACCACTTCTGTCCTCTGTAACCGTGGGGCTGGTCCCTCACCCACCTCTCTTAGCTTTGCTTGAGATTGTCTGCACTCAACTCCCGTCAGCTTCATGACCCACCATACCCAACCCTACCTCCAACACCCCACGTCCTGGGAAGAGGTCAAGGTCATGAGCTCTGTCTCTAATGTTCTTGCCTACTGTCCCCACCAGTTGTTGACGCAGAACAGTCACAGCCTGGTGTTCCTGGGAAGTAGTACCGTCAACCTGGAAAGGGAGGCCAGGAAGACTTCCTGGAGCGGTTGTTACCTGGCTTCGGATGCTCAGGGCACTGTGGCCTTGCTCCTTCTTCCCTGCTTCCTGGGTGCCAGATGTGTGAGCCCACACGCACTGAGGGGTGGACTAGTGTGTGCAGCCTCTTGGCCACAAGCACACTGAATGTTTAAGTGTCTCTCACTTGAGATCATAATTCTAACTGTGCAGAAACTTTGGGGAAGGCTATTCCAGGTCACAGGAACAGCATGTGCTAAAGTCCTGAGGCAGAGAAGCCCTAAGGAGTCAGCCTTAGACCCCAAAACTTAAAAGGGGCCTTCTGTGTGCAACTGTGTATGAGAATATTCTGTCTTATAGGGTAGTGAGCTCCCTGTGTCTAGAGGTGTGCAAACCAAAGGTCTGGAACTCTGGACTCTGTTCTAGCAGAACCTGGGGCCTGCCTCATGATGCCACAGTATCCAGGTTTGATGCTGTGGCTTAGGCTAGGCATGGAGGGCAGGGGCTGGTCCCCTATCGTTCCCTGTTAGTGGAAGGAGGTGAACAGGTAACACACCACACACATCACGCCTGTCTTCCTGCCTCTGGACATAGACCAAGTCACGGAGTGTCTGGAAACAGCAGTGGGTGAGAAAACGGTACACACCCTGTCAGATCTGTCCACACAGGGGTTCTCATGGGGCGAGTTTCCCCAAAACTATCACCATGCCATTTGTGGTAAAGATGGAAGCCCAGGGGTTCTTGGGGTTGCCTGCTCTTTAGAAAGAATATGTTCGGGGCCGTGTTTTCTTTAATCAGTCCTGGCAAATATGCATCAGGCATTTGCCATTTCAGCCATTTTCACATGCTACCCTGACTCGAAGCAAACTTTCTGTGCAGTGCTACCCCCACTATCTCCATCTCTAACTTGACCCTCCCTCTTCACAGACACTTCACACTTGTGAAGCAACACCTTCCCATTCCCCCTTGTTAACCACTGTGCTTCTGTCACTGAACCCTGACCTGTTCCAGACGCTTCCTGTAAG